ACCCCCCCCCCCCCCCCCCGAAATTTCTTCATGCCCCCCAGTTTGGGAATCCATGCTATAACTCCACTGAACTCTGTCTCTTTGCTTAGGAAGAAAATCTAAAAGTTGAGGTAAAAATCAGTGATTTTTTTTTTTTAACATGGTGGGGTTTTATAATAACAAACACCATACTATATAGCTTAGGGTATGTCTACACTAGCCACCCTAGTTCAAACTAGGGTGGCTAATGTAGTCATTCGAACTTGCAAATGAAGCCCGGGATTAAAATATCCCGGGCTTTATTTGCATGTTCCCGGGCGCTGCCATTTTTAAATGCCCGGTAGTTCGAACTCCCTGCCCGCGGCTACACGTGGCACTGGCTAGGTAGTTCAAATTAAAGCTCCTAATTCGAACTACCATTACTCCTCATTGCTTTGTTTTAGGAAATGCTAACTGAATTTAGTTTGTATTTTAACTTAACAACAGTTGTTAGTTTTAAACTTTAAAATTCAGGTATCGCTTTTTACCTCTGTAACAAAACATTGAATTTGGGCATGGATACTGCTTGACTATCTCTGTGGTCTGTTTTTAAAGATGTTTTCCTATAATTACATCAGGAAATCTTAACGTGCAACTTTGGACTTCATAACCTAGAATCAAATCCTCCTCTCCCTCTTTTTCAATCTTTTCTGTAGTGTAGAGTTATGTAAAGAAATGGTGGATGGACTAAGGATAACCTTTGACTTCATTCTTCCATTGATCTTGCTGTATCCCTATGAGCAAGCACAGTTCAAGAAGGTGACTTCATCCAAATTCTTTCTTCCAATCAAAGAAAATGCAGCAAATACTAATAGGTACGTTGAATAAATTATGATTTGTGTGTCTGCTCTCATGAGGCAACAAACACTTTATTTTGTTGAGCACTGGAACACAATTTTAAAGAGGGTGATAATTCTAATATGTTGATTTTTGTGTTTCAAAATTGGTTTTTATAAAGTCTTGAACTCTTTCTTCTAAGACTTGTTTTGATGGGGTTTTTTGTCCTGGTTTGGAATTTTTATTGCAAACAGAAGATTAACTTAACCTTAGAAAACAACTAATAGTCTTTTGGTACGCATGAGCTTTTGTGGGCAAAACCCACTTCTGCAGATGACATGATCTTCAGTCTTGGACTACTTGTTTTTTAAAGTTACAGACTAACATGACTACCCCTCTGAGACTTTTAATCTTGGAAAGACATTAGGGTAGAACTAAGTGATATAGAAGAAAACTGAAATCTTCAGAACAGATTAAGATTTACATTTCTGTTTAGTTGCTGTAAGGTGCTTCAGCATTTGAACAGTAAATGCTTACTAGAGTGCCCTCTGCTCGCTATGCTTGCCAAGCATTCTGCCTCTAGAGGTAAGCAACCTCTAGGGATAAGATGCTCTCCCCTGGCCACAGAGGAGGGCCAGGTCAAGGTGTGGCAGTCCTGGCATATCCCCCACCCCCTCTGGCCATTGGGCAGGGCTGGGGTAGGGCCGAGGCCAGGCCAGCCCCATGTCCCCATCAGGCAGGGCTCCCCCCTCCTGCAGCCGATACTTCAATTTGATTACCCTGCCTCCATTCCTGCACTCACCATCCTCTGTAACTGCTTCCCCTGTTCACCCCACACAGCCTATCCCTACCCCCACCTTCTTCCTCCATTCCTACACCCTCATCCTTCCCTAACCCCTCTCCTTACCCCTCTCCCACTACCCATCCCCCTGCCTCCATTCCTATATCCCCCTTAACCCCACCAATCCCTCCTTGCCACACTGACCATCCTCACATACACCCTGTCCCCTTTCCTCTCTCCCTACACACACCCTGTCCCTCCCATGAATTTGTTGAGTTGCACACTCCTCCCGCCCCAGGAGCACCACCAGACCGGGCAGCACAGCCCCAACCAGCTCAGCAGCAATCCCAGCCCGCCCCCAGTCCAGCCTTCCCGTATGGGCCTGTTGGGGCAGCTTTGCTCTATGGCAAGCCCAGGGAGCCTGCAGCGCAGAGAAGCCGCTTTGGAGAGCTGGGGAAGCGGCCACAGTGCAAGACCTGCCTGGAGAGCGCTCCTGAGCCTGGGCCTGCACAGAGCTAAACTGTGCGGTACGCACATGGGCCGGGCAGGCTGGGGGTGGGGCCCAGAGGCAGGTGGATGCTGGTCCAGGGGCATGTAGAGATGGAGCCACCATCTCCTCCCCATTTCACAGAGCTATCATGTGGTCAGGGCTCCTGGAGATGCAGGGTGAGGGGCTGACTTGACTCTGTCGTCCTGCAGGAAAAGTTTTCTTAACTATATAGAGAGATCTATGAGGAATACAAGAAGTTTTAGAAAGGAGGCTTTAGCTCTGATTTGGATAATTATTTAGCTAGATCCATGAAGATGGATTTAAAAAAAATCTGGAAATCTGTTCTCGTTGTTATGAGATTTTTCTCTTCATTTCCTAGAAACCAGGAGGAGCTATCCCCAAGCCCACCTCTGTTGAATCCACCAACTCCTCAATCCACAGACAGTCAGCCTACAACAGGGGAGCCAGCAACACCAAAGAGGCGAAAAGCTGAGCCTGAAGCATTACAGTCTCTGAGGCGTTCTACACGTCATACATCGAACTGTGACAGGTTGTCAGAAAGTAGTGCATCCCCACAACCTAAAAGACGGCATCTTGATACGCCTGCTTCAATGCCTAAACTGTTTTTGCATCTGGAAAAGAGTAGGTTGTAGTTTTATAATATTACTATGGATCAAATCATCTTTTTGGGCCATGGAACAACTTAAATGGTTCCTTATTGTCAGAGCAACCTCTTGCCTCTAATTTTTTTGTTTACAAAGGGGAAATCTGTAGCTACTGGATTAGGAGGAAGAGTTTTATGAAGTAATGGAAACTGGACAGAGGATAGTTTTCATGAGAATCTGGAAAGACTTGGAAGTAGGTAGGACTAGTAGTGGACAGGTGAGATTGTGGTAAAGGGGGAACCAACTAAATGAGAGGACCCTGAATAGTAACTGGCCCGCTGCCACCCACAGGATGCGGCTGTGACACATGGCAGAGAAAAGGAGATACAGCAACATTTTGTGGGTGTAAAGAGAGAATTTTTTTAGGGAATGAAGGGAAAAGAGCTGGCTAGGATGTTCCATTTATTTAGTTGAGGGGCAAAGAACCACTGACGTACTTGTTAGAAAGTTGTTTCAATGTGATGAATTATATGTACTCTTCCCAATATAATTGCTTTATTCACAGAACAGTTATTGTTGTGAAACGTATGTTTCCCACATATTATGCAGCATCCATGGAAGGATCCTGCATTATGGTTCTCCCTCCCATCTTCCCTTAAAAAATGTATTTTTTATATATATATCCATTAAGCTTTCTGGTCAGAAATAGGAACTGTAAAATGAGTTAGAAGAAAATCTTTTTAAACTTCTCTATCGTAGTCACAAATTCCTTTTGTCCTTTTTAACAAAAAACTTCTTCTAAATTCTGCATGACTTCTAAACAAATAGTAGGCATGCCTCATTTTATGCCTCTGTGTGAGCAACAAATGTTTTTTATTTGTTCACACTAGGGATATAAAATCCCATTTAATTGGTTAACCTGTTACAATTTTTGTTTAATTGGTTAACTGATTAATGGGGTTGGGGGCTCCAGTCCAGCTGGAGTGGCTTCCCTTTCCCTGCCCGCTAGTGGGCTGGGCTGGGCTGGAGCAGCTCCCCTGCTTGTAGGCAGGGCTTGCAACAGCCCAGCCAGAGTGTCCCCCCTACTTGCAGGTAGGTGGGGAATTGATCCAGCCCCCACTGGTTAACCTTAACTGGTTAAACATTCACATCCCTACTTCACACTTGCACTAGTAGAGGTGATCTCATAGCTCATGAAACTTGATAGATGTCTTGCTTTTCTTGTAGGCCGTCCCAGGTAAATGCTCATCTCACTGATGTGTGTGGGAGCCCTCGGGACTACATATGTGAATGGTTAACCATTAAGCCTCATCCTTAATAGGTGAGGTTTACTGGTTCCAGTTAATGAGTAGGGGCTGGAGGAGCTCCCACCCACCAGCTAACTACCCCTTTAATCAGTTAACCTGATAAATATAATGTTCAACTGGTTGACCAATTAAATGGGTTTTTACATCCCTACTTGAGACCTAGTGTTCTCAAACTAGCCAAAATCTGCTGAGAATTTGGGGGAAGAAGCATTGCAGACCAATACCTGCCCATTGTTTTGACGTTTCTGCTGGCTGGCTGTAGGGTTAGGTGCTCTGAGGGTCTGGGCATGTCACAGGCAGCCACAGATGGTTGTGCACTGAGCACATGGGCATTTGGGGCCAGTTTCACTCCAGAAGAAAAGTTTTAAAAGGATTTGTCTGAAGTGGTTGAATTAAAAACCGGTTGCCTGACTTTCACATGATGAACAGCAGCTCTGAAAATCAGGCCTAATGTTTTCAGTTGAGCTTTCTGATGGTTGAGTGGCACTCACAAGATCAGCTCTTTTTAACTCGTCTGCACAAATTGTACCATTCGTGTTGTCCACAAGCATGTTCTGATTTTGTTAATTCATTTAATTCAAACCTTTAAGTGAGATTTGATCATCTGGAAAAATTACACTAAAAATGGATTCCATGTTGATGTCTGTCCCAAAGCAAAATCAGGGAACAGGATCACATAGTAATAGTTTTTCAGAATACAAAAAAATGTGGTTAAAAAAATTGAAAAGACTAATCTTCAGAGTTCTTGTATATGTTCAGTCTAAGTAGCGAGTAAATGACAAATTGTGTACTCGATACAATTTGTATCGAGTACACAGTTAGTTGATAAGGCTCCTACTACATTGAAACTGCAGAGCTGCAGCAGGGGTAGGTCTGGGACCTGGCACAAGCTGGGACTGAAGTAGTCCCGACTCGCACTGGGTCCAGACAGTTATGGCTTTCATAACTCTCCAATATCAGTTTTACAAAGACATTTGTTTTTCTAGCATAGAGCATCTTTTAAAATGTTGCAAGGGTGTTTCAGGTCTGAAGGCTGAAAAGCCAATGGGATGGCTGTGGAGGATTGGACCAGCCATGGCCTCCTCTTACTTAAACCTATCTTCCCCCATTTGGCCTACCTCTTGATAACTTTATACAAAAACTGCAGATTTTACTGATGATGCTGTTCAGAACTGAAGGGACAATGGTGCTTTTTCTTGTTTTTTGTGAGGCAGATTTGATGTGACAGGTGCTTTGGATATTATTATTTGTTCCTATGCTTAAGTTTAAAGGTTTTAGCCAAAGGCTTTGATTCTGTTTTAATAGCTGCATATGAAATTGCCCTCTTTAGCAGAATGAAATAAACACCACATTTAATGGATCTTTGTGTAAAGCATTTATCTATTTACTTTTTGAAGAAACACCAGTCCATAGTGGGTCGTCATCACCTATCACTCTGACTCCTAGTAAAGAAGGTAGTGCAGTATTTGCTGGCTTTGAAGGTAGAAGAAACAACGAATTGAATGAGGTAACATCTAGGCTGAAAGGTCAACATAATTGGTGCCATACACTGATGTTAGATTTATGTGTAAAAACTTAAGGTCCTGTAAAATTCAATGTTTTTTAGTAGAGCAGGACAGTAGCATTTCTATAATTCACAAAAAGTAGCTTCATTATATATTGGTTTATAAATTTGCTTTCCAGTCCACCCATCATCCTGAAGATGTCTTTTCTGTTCTTTGGCTAGGTTGGTTTTTTGTCTGTTGAAAATTTACTTTAAAAATTGATGTCACCTTGAAGTTTATGTGTGTATACACACAGTAAAACCTTTAAGAAAAATACTTTGAGAAATTAATGTGGCTGGTTAAATTGGAGCTTTTGTTCCGCCCCTCCTGTGGGGTCAAGAGGGTGTATCAGTCCAGCGGTGGGCTGCCTCCCCATTTGTCCATCCCCTTTAATCGATTAACTGGGTAAACATATTCTTTAACTGGCTAGCCAATTAAATGGGATTTTACGTCCCTATTCTGTAGCACTAGTTACATAAAAATATGCACATTGTGCTGTCATTGGTTGGATAGATTAATTGACAAGCAGGAGATTTTTTTTTTCGGGGGTATGGACTAAGAGTTTAACACAGTATTGTAGTGTGTATAGTGAAGCTCCTAATTGTGTTAAAACAGCATTTTAAACTTCATAGTTAACAAAAGGAGAAATGTAAAAAAATTGAAATCTGATTATCTTCTAATCTAGATCTCTTTGTGAATTAAATCAGGCTATAGGTTATACTGTTCTGTTGTATTTAGGTGTTATCTTGGAAACTCATGCCAGAGAACTATCCCCAAAGTGATCACCCACCCCCTCCCTCGTACATCTATGGATCTCAGCATTTGTTGCGGATGTTTGGTAAGACATAATCCTTGTTTTATTACTACACTGTGTATGTTGTACATTTAA